TGAACATTTTAGATTTCTCAGGTCTATTGTTCAAGGTAATAGTGATATAGGTGGGGATGTTATTAAAAATATTCATGTTGGTTGGTTGAGGTGGAGGAATGCATCAGGCTTATTGTGTCGTAGAAAAGTGCCGCTTAGATTTAAAGGAAAATTTTATAAGACGGTGGTGAGACCTGCAACGCTTTATAGTGCAAAATGTTGGTCTTTAAAAGAGAAGCATAAAACCAAGTTAAATATTGTTGAGATGAGAATTCTTAGGTGGATGAGTGGCTTGAAAATTAAAGACAAAATGTGAAACAAATCTATCCGTGAAAGTGTTGGTGTAGCTCCATTTGCAAAAAAGATTATAGAGAGGCATCTTAGATGATATCCTCACATTAAAAGTTGACCATCTGATGATCCCATTAGGAGTGATCCCTAGGAGAGTAGATGTTTTAGATTCAACTTATGTTAAGAAAAGTAGAGGTAGACCTAAAATGATTTGGGCATATTGTATAAAAAATGATCTTAATCTATTATAATTAAATGAATTATGACACTCAATAGGACACAATGGAGAAAAGGGATTTGGGTAGCTGACCCGACTTAGTGGGATAAATGATTCTTGTTGTTTTTGTTGTATTATTTCTTCTCTTGATATCCCTCAAAATTTTGAAAAGATGTTAGCTGGGTTATTGGGTATAAGAGGAGACTATATGGTAGTAGGTGATCATTGTATGGGAGTAATCTGAAAATGATTCTGCTCCTTGAGCTTTCTGGAGATTTTAGATGGCTTTATTTTCTTGTATAGATCTAAAGAGATTTAATAATAGGAGTAACATGTTGTTCTTGTGATTACAAAGCTGGGATGTTCTTCAGTAAAGATATTCAAGTTCATCAAACTTTTATTCCATTTGGATTTCATTTTTAATTAAAGTGACATCTTTGAAAGTTATAAAATTTGGCAGTTTGTTAATAAGATTTATATAATTTTTGACTGGATGAATATCCTAAAAAGAGACATTTAAGTGCCTTAGGATTAAGTTTTATTTTGATGTTGTTTGTGAATGGAACACATAGACGATCAACTTTAGAGGAAATTTTGATAAAAAATTATTTGTAGAAAAATTTGAGCAGATAGTTTATGGGACTTCTAAAATCAATTATCTTGGGGTTGTTCAATTAATGATATATTTAGAGGTTATGATAGTTTCTCAATATATTATAGGAATTTGGTTTTGGAAAGGAAGAGCTTTAGTAACTTAAATGCCGATTTTTTACTGTCACTCCATTTTTTTATGGAGTGCAAATGCAGGAGGATGAGGGGATAATATATTTTTTATTGAGAAAGAAATATTTTGTTAAGAAAATCTTGAGTTTCTTGAGTATTATCAATTCTATTTATTGTATATAATAACATCAGATTAATTTTTATCTAGAGATAAAGGCGACTGCATTGTGACAAGCATAAGTTTTTTCTTTAACAAGATAATCTTATTTCATTTGATTAGTCATTAATGAATTTGGTAAATTCCTTAGGAATATCATGGATTTTTTATGGTTATCAAAGGTTGGAGTATCATAATTTAGATTCATTTTTAGGAAAGAAAACTCTTAACAATGAAAGATTTTAATGTTCATTTTTTATAAATATTGAAGGAAATATATATTGCATGTAACATTTTAAAGGGGGACTATTTTAGTTTATAATGATCCTACATTGTGTCTTTGAGTAGACATTCAGGAGCAAGAGAAGTGTTTATAGTCTTTAAGTCGGCATACTCGTGTCATTTATTTCTTTTGCCCAATCATTACAAAAAATGTCATCCTGCAATTGTGATCTTTGGGGAGTTTAGTAAAAAAATTGTGATCCTTTATCCTTCTTCGGTTTGTACGAATGAGAAGATTTCATCTAGGAATGGTAGGAATATGAACATGGGTGAATTCAACATCAAGTCCTACAAGGAACTAAAAAATTCTCTTCTTTCATATTATATGGGTACCTCAGCATCATCGCTATACTTATCCGGAGATCTTGATAATAGTTTAGTTCGAACAAGAAGAGACCTTCATAGCCTTCAAATATTTAATGACAGAGAGGTTACGGTATTTGGTTTTTGAGAGCTTCATCTTGATTTATTGTAGAGAGTAGCATTTTAACTTAGAAGTAATTTTTCTTAATAGCTTCCTTAATGTTGTTTTTGGTTGCTAGTTTCCTTAACTTATAAGTCTGCTTGATAGGTTAGTACCTCATTCATTTCAAGGCATTATGGTATTCCATGACCATGATATAATCATTGAATTTGCATCATCCCAACGTGCAGGCTTTGAGCCTTTCAGATTCTGATTTTCGATAAGAGGGTGACACTTTTCTTTTCCTTTCATAGGTATTCACAAACTGGTACCATTCAATTATTTTTTTATTCAAATATCTTAGTTCGATTTTTACCATTCATAATAGTTTACCTTCGATAGGAAAATTGAAAAAACTAGCAATGATGAGGATAATAAGAATAAAATAGAAAAATTAAAGGATGTAAAAATAACCCTAAACTTGCATTTATGTAGCATATAAAAAAGATAAAGTAGATTGAAAGTTTGTTTTGTTCATTCCCTCGATGGTTATTTATATATAAAATAATCTAGAAAATAATTAAAATTTACAAAAGAAATTTACTTTTAAAATTAAAACTGCTATCTAAAATTTTCTATCTAGGTCAGAGATTCCATTTTTAAAAAAAATTGTGGCATATTTTAGTTCTTTATTTAACAATTGTAAGTTTGCCAACATCGCCAACCCTTGGATAATTTTCAACACGTCTTGTTGAAGGAGCTTATGTTGGAGAAAAGATAGAATGACTTGAACACGCAGTTTGGGTTGCTGGGTCCAAGGCATTATAATGGAAGAGAGAGAGAGTGATAGGAGTTTACGGCAAAAGAAAAATCCAATGGGGAGTTTCCCTTGAAGGTGTGACGTACCAATGAGTGAGTAGAGTCATTAAAATTTTTGCTAGTTGCCTTAATTAATTTTTATATTGATTCTTGAACTTATGTTTATGGATTTATCAAACCAAGCAAGAAGTAAGTGATTCTTCTTGATTGAATTGTTAATAGAAATCTTCCACTACCCTTTAGTATTAGAAAATTGAAAGCCAGCAGGGTTGGGGATATCAAACCAAGCAGTTTTCTCGTCTTTCGTTTCTTAAAATGTATCTAGCTTCCCTTTCGACCAAAATGGGCTAGATGGAAGGGAAGAAAGTTAACTCAAAGCTCCTTTAAGTTATTCTCTTTGTTTGTCTTTTTCTAGGTAGAGAAAACATGGTTCACATTATCAATAGGAATGGAGATGCCAGAAAGATCATATAATTTTCAAATAGTAGAGAGCACGACAACTAAAAATGATGTGAAACTCACCATCTAAATGATTTTTACACATTTTACCAAAGAACATTATCGATGGCTCCTTTGTTTTCTTTTGGGTTATTTACATACGTACCACTTAAATCTTACGTAACAATCATGACATTTGTCGATATGTCACATGTTTACTAAGATCATCATAAATAATTAATGCATGGATTCTACCATCGTGGAATTATTCCCCCATGGCACACCCAAAATATGGGGCCATAAATTACAGAGCAGGATTCTAAATGGTGGCTGTAACAATAATTGAATTTTCCAAGGCATTCGCTTCTGGAAGAATTTTTACTAATTGTGCCACAGTCTAGTGTTTCTGTCCAATCACTACATAGACACAATATAATCAAACTCCCAGAGGTGCTATGTATTTACATATCTAATACATAAACTTTATTTTTAAAATTATACGACCTAGATCTTTCATATCACATCAAACATAACGTCATTTTAACTTCTAAAATGTAAAATACACCTTTTTATTCATAGTTAAGGTGGGTTTGTGTAAAAGTTGAAGTTTAGGAGTCACATATTTATATGCATAGGAATTGAGTTATATGTATGTAAATCTTCCCTATTTTTTTTTTTCGTTCGCCTTCTTGAAATGTATCTAGTATTCCTTCCATTCGAAATGGGCTACAGATGGAAGAGAGAGATACGTATCCCCCAGCTGCTTGAAAGCATTTTTGCTGCATGCCTTTCTCCAGATAAAGAACACATAGTTCACATTATCAATAGGGATGTAGATGCGAAAATAATTATATTATAGAACACAACAACCAATAAAAGATGTAAAAATTGTCTTCTAATTTATTTTTACAGATTTCAAAAGAAAAATATTGGTTCTTTTGTTTTATAAGGAGGCCTTATCGGTTTATTCTTCCAAAATTAATACTTTTACCATTATGATCCTTCCAAGCAGTATTAAGAAAGGTTTAAATAGCTTTGAAAACCAAGGAACAAAAGCATGATTATTGAATGACTATACTTTTACATCCATTTGTTCAACTTTATGCTGCTAATTTGTTATACTTGGTAGTTATATGCTGACAGGGATGGGGATTTTTTAAGCGAGCAAACTTAAAATTTTTCATTATGATGGCTCAGCTTTATGCTGGTTAGTATGTAGCTTTGATTCAATCAGCGTTTTGTGCTCGCACCCTCTGAAACTGTTAGCAGTCTGACATATTTATTGCTACGAGTTGTTCAATTCTTTGCTGCAAAAAATGCTGCTCGAAATGGAAATGTTTTCATGCTTTACATCTTGATGAAGGATTCTCAAGTTTTTGTAGCAATTAAAAAAAAATGTTCGTTTATTTTTTTTTAAAACAAATTAGATTGTTCTTTTTTTTATTATTTCAGAAGTTTGAGGAGGCTTAATATTTATATATTTCTAATTTTTTTTTCCTCCTGACTCTTGCTCCCCTCACCTACCTAACTGTTCTCTCGATTGATGTTTCCTCGTGGAAAGTTATAAACATATCAAAACTGATTTTATTAATTAGAAAATGAATAGAATTAAGAACAAAATAATAATGTAGAGTGATCACAAACTTCTAATTTCACCTACGAATTTTAATTACAGTTTTAATCATTGGCAGACTATGAAGAAACTTATGGACAGAAGGAGCAAACATTTAAATCACCTTTTCTATCAGACATCCTCAAAGGAAACACTTCAAATGGGTGGACAGAAACAGGGCAGAGAAGCTTTAGGATTATGAAGAAAAAAATTCAGGAGGCTACCTCTGAAATCAGGCAAACTCAATGGTGAGCAAATATGTAACATTTCAGTAAATTTGTTGTGCAGAAAAAAAAAATGACAAATTGATGTTTGAAATTTTGAAAATTAGATACTTCTACCAGCGAAGATGTTATTTCCTTCAACCCAGCCCTGCTTAATCATGATATTTAATGAAGCAAATTAAATATGCCGAAAATTGAAGATGGCTGGAAGCTCAATAGAAGGAAATTGTAAATTGTACCTATCTGCTTGCCTCTCATTTTTTTGTGAGTGAAATTGTAATTGCGATCTTTTACAGGGTTTATTTATACATTACTTTTGTTTTATTGATCGCTCTTGTTATGTCTGATGAATACTTTTATGGTTTTTTATCAGTTATTGCTTGTTCCTTAGTTTGCAATGAATGGGTGTCATATTCAGACACTGTATTACCGCCAAATTAGTTGTTTATTTTCATGAAATAGACAACAATGTGCTCAAGATATATTTCCAGTACCATGTGTTATAATATTCAGGATACTATAAAGCAAATTCTTCATTTTCTTGGACGTTTAAGGCCTAGCAAACTTTGTTATCTTTAAAATGCTACAATTTTGCACCTCAATGTGGATTCAGGTTGATGTTTATTCAGAAAAAACTTCCTCTTAGAGGGTGCTAGCACAAAACGCTGATTGAATCAAAGCTATATACTAACCAGCATAAAGCTGAGCCATCAAAACTAAAAATTTGAAGTTTGGGAAATACTGTGGTAGTCATTTGGGTAACAAATGTGCATGTATGCATATATTAATAATAATTTTATTTATATATGTTTATAGCATTGATCATTTAAAAGCCTTGTTAGTTCTCTTTCAACTATTGAGATATATCAAAAAAAAAAAAAAAAAAGGCTTTATTCTAAACCCCATCCCAAACAAAAAGAATACCACGTAATAGAAAAGGAGCTATCATTTAAAGGCCCAATAATGACAACTTGGTGGATTTCTTTCAACTAAAGCCTTTCCCATGGACCGGATCATACCATTGTTTATAGTTTCAAACTGCATGATTTTTTTTAGGATATGGTGAGGGCTAGAACAAGAAGCTTTGAAATTCTCTTCAATTAATATGGTACACAACTAAGCACGTTTCAAATTTCATGTTGATTATTTGATTATTTACTATGAAAACATAAACCCATTTTTCTCGGGGCAATTTATATCTCATATTGAATCCAACCTATCTACATACTTCCAATCAAATTAGCTTTCAAGTTAAATATGCCTATTAAAAGAAAATGGCAAGGAATATACATATACAAACGCATAAATACGCCGAACCAAAGAGTTCTTCATCATATAAAATATGTAAATAGAGCTATCGCAATAGTTTTGCATGGCGTGTACACAAAATAAGTATAAAATTAACTATAATACTCTCGACGTGTTGCATAGCATAAATAACTATATTGCTTGGGACCTAACCAGAAAGGTCTTGAGAAGAAGATCACCGAAGCCGGGCACGGCCGACAGGTAATGGCCGGTCATGGAGAGCTCGTGGTACTCGATCCAGTCAAGGCGTTGGCATACATATCGCTGCAGAGTGACCGGCACCAGCCCATCCTCATCGCCCTGCCATAGATGAACCCTGAAGGGCGGCTCGTGGAGATCCATTGGATCGAACTCCCACTTACCGAACATTACCTTCATGTCCCGGTAGTATGACTCCTCTACCCCTTGCTGCGTCGCTAGCTTCCTCCTCTGCGGACCCCACCACATTCAATATTTTATTTTTATTCAATTAATTATTTACATAATTGTTGAGGATGCACATTATATACATTTGATTTTATATTTATATATATATAAGAAGAATTTACATGCATACTACTCAATTCATGTATTTACATCTAGAGCACCTATAATTCAATCTATACATACATGTTATATGCAAGAAATGATAAATTTAACTATTTAAAAGTTACAATATTGGCATTTTTTATTTTTTTATGTGATGAAAATTTTGGTTGGTATAAATGTAAAAAAATGAAATTTTGGTGTTGGATATGCAAATACACGATTGGTATATGTCTAAATACTTAATTGCAGACCTCGCTCATAAATTGTCTTATATTTTTGACATAATTTACATATCAGACATCTAAGTTTAATATTTACATGCATAGCCCACAAATCCTTCATTACACAACAAGAATATCACGATAGCTTTTTAAAAATGAACATACATTTTCATGGGTAAGTTGATGACACCAAATTGCTATAGATGTAAATATGAAAATCTAAATGTTATATGTCTAAATACAAAAGAAGTGTGTTGTAAATGTGAATTTCCCTATTTTTTTTATAAAAGAATTATCTCATATTTATGCGTGCCACGCACATACCCCAAAAAATCAGGGCTTTGTTTCTTTTATTTTTTATCTTTATTAGTGATGTTTCTTCATAATAGATTATTGGGAAATTTACATATATTTACTAGTATGAACTGCTGTATTTCATTTATAAAAAAAAAGATAAAAATAAAAATGGCGATTTTTTTATGTGATATGAAAGAATTGGGTGGTATAAATGTAAAAAAAAGTAAATTTTAGATGTTAGATATGTAAAGACTTAAATAAGCATTAGGTGGTATATATCCATAAAATGCATGAAAAAGAGAAGTGATAATAGGTAGAGGACCTTTTCAATCATTCCATTGGAAGCAGCCCATTCTCTGATCTCCGCGTCGCGGCGGTTCGGAAGAGGTGTTGTCGCCTTCACAACAGTTGATGTGGGCAGCCATGACTGCTTCATCCACCAGTGAAGCAGCCATGGTGCATGGTGCGATACTCTCAGCGCCCATTGGTCTCCTACAGCCTGCTCATTGTAAGCCTTCTCCGTTAGGTTTGCCGGAAAGCTCGGCCACCAGTAGTTTATCACCGGAGCAAGGAGTGCGGCTCCGGCGAGCCTGCAATTCAGACAAATATGTAAGCATTCTTAGTAAGACAACTAGGAAAATTTACATACATACCGCTTAATTCTAACATCTAAAGTTTCATATTTATATTCAAAACACTGGTAGCATAAATTTATGCATGGAAAGTAAATAATATTTGTATAAGTGCTATGCATGTGAATATGAAAGTCTGTTAAATATGTAAATAGATAAGAATTGTTGGGCATGTATGTATATGCCCCTTAAAACTAACATAGAATACAATTATATCTGAATCTAAATTTAACAGTAAAATCATGTCATGTGTAGTTGGCCGTATCACATAAAAATGTTGAAGATTAAGTAATCATAAATGTATTTATATCCTGTCTCATAATGATTAAATTTGAATTTAAAATTTTAATTAATGTTATAAATGGTTCAAGTATTGCATAACTTAATTATATGCATAAAGTAAACAACTTTACCCAAATATTTCTCAAATCTGCTATGGAAATCATACGTAACATACAAAACTTCATCTTATATCATGCATAAAGATGGAATTATACTTCTTTCTTCGGCTATATAATAAAAGAGCATAACATTTAAAAAAGAAAATCAAATAAATTTGAGCTCATTCACACGTACATGAAAAAAAGATGCATTTACGCCTAAACCTTACTTTTTTACATTCATATCACCAAATCTTTCATATTGTCATGCATGGTAAGATAACAAATATATGTAAAAAATGAAGTTTCAGTATTAGATACGTACATTACATATGAATTAGCTGGTATGTATGTAAATATTCTAGAAAATAATTTTAAAAAAATTAGAAAAGGATAACGCACCTTCCAGGAATGTACTTGATAGATGCCCAAACAGCATGGCCTCCTAGAGAGTAGCCGATGAGGTAAAATCTGGAGCCCAAATTGAGGGAATCTGCAAGCTCTTCAATGTCTGAAGCCTCACTTCTACGCGATCGTTTGGGGTTTGGGTCACTCTCGCCGTAGCCTGCTCGGTCGTAGCTCACCAAATACACTCCAAGTTCTTCCATTATTTCCTGCATCCAAAGCATATGAATATTTAGTAAAATCCAGTTAAGGAATTCATATAAGAATTTATTGTTTTATATAAAATAGCATTCATCATCATTCATTGTATATTAAGATGTCTCTGTTTTTGGATATCAAATTCTATTGTTTTTATAGTTATTACAGATGAGAAAATGATTCGATTAAACTTAATTGAACACATGATTGATTATAAATTTGCCAAATTGGCATAGCCAGTCTTACAAATAATATGTTTTTTTTTTTTTTTAATTTCTTTAGAATAGAATTTGAAATGAACAAAAATTTGAAGAGAGATACCTAAAATAATTGTATATGTTCGGAAAAGCTTTCCAAAAATCAAGGGGACAATGACAGGATACCGAAAATATAAATGGTGGTTTGTTAGATACGTAAGTAAATTTAATTGAAGGCATAGATGACAAGCATATAATTAATAGCTAGGATTTCTTACTGGATTTCTAAACAATTTTTAATTAGTAATATTGATAGTAGAGCTGTTTGGGATGATGGTTGTTAAAGTGAGTGACTGACACGGCAATATTTGTTATGGGGAATATTCTCATTTCTCAAAACATGATATATATATATATATATATATATATATATATATAT